ACCCAACAACAGGTTGTCAGATTTGTCTGAAAATTTCGGGGCAGATAGATCTTGACCTGATAATCAGTTTTACCTATGTCAGATTTACTCTAAATGCTTTGGTTTCAGAGATATAAGCCAAAATCTACATTTTACCCCTATGTTCTATTTTTAGCCATGGTGGCCATCTTTGTTGGTTGGCGGGTCATCAGACACATTTTTTTAAACTAGATACCCTAATGAAGATTGTGGCCAAGTTTGGTTAAATTTGGCCCAGTGGTTTCAGAGGAGAAGATTTTTGTAAAAGCTAACGACGACGACGGACGACGGACGCCAAGTGATGAGAAAAGCTCACTTGGCACTTCGGGCCAGGTGAGCCAAAAAACAACACCTACCTAAAAACTTCATTATAATTTCAATATTGTCAGAATTTGGAGCATACACGTAACAGAATAACTTTCAGCTTGAGAGTTTTCATTCTTATGACCTCATGTTTTGACATGAGATAACTGCGCCAAGATCATTCATGGAATATAGCGGTTTTTATTTTATTTTGATTTGAAACATTTTCCATGCTTTAATGCATTTATTCTTTATTTAAGCATTTGAATAGGAATAATGGTTCTGTAGTTTTAATTTCAATTTAAATTTTAACACAGCAAAATCGACAGTGTTTGCACATAGGTTACTCTACATGTGTGTGGATTTACGTAGGAGGTAAATTGAACAGCTGGTCATATATATATCTCTGAGTCTGCGCTAGGTAAAGATATGGTGAGGAGTTTTCAAGCTGTTGTTTACAAAGGGAAAGAACCACTTGATCAGAATTATCTTTTAATGATATGGCGGGTTGGAGTATGATATTTACCCTAGGGGCTCTTTTCACAAAAATCTTACGACTAAAATTGATCTCAAGTTATATTGAAATGTTCATGACTTACAAGAGTTTTTACTCGTAAGATTTTTTGTGAAATCAGTCACAGAGCTCTAGAAAAGAATTTACAAATTGGGGTTTTATTCTACAATATTTAATTTATATAATAGAGTGAGAAAAAAACAATTTCCATAATCTATTCCAGTTTTCCATCCAGGCAAAGATTGTTAAGGGTTTTTCATCACCAAGCCCCTGAAAACAGGTTTATTCCTGAATGTATTGGTTGTTTTTATTTTTCATCCTCAAGTTATTGAACAGAGACATGTTTATTATTTCTGCAGCAAATCAAGATCGGGTCATCCCCTGTTATCCTGAATAAATTTCATCCAAGTATGTATGTGATAGTTGCTTTATTTGATTTATACACAGATGAACAAGTCTTTATTTTAACCTGTGTCTGGTTTGTTTAACATTCCTGCCAGTTTTGTATTTGAAATATCACATGACACAGTAAATAATGTTGCATAGTAAAAACAATCCAGTGCAAGCAAGGTGAAGAAATAGATAATGTCATATACACATGTACATGTACTGCACCATCCTGGATGGTCTGGATGCATACAGTAAAAGTTATATTGCATAGTATAATTATAAGTAGTGCTACAGCTAGAAAAGGAAAGTGACATGGCATCAGTAGGGGGCAGGGCACTTGTTAATCTTAGGGGTTTATTTTTTCTTTTTTGCCTAGTTTTTGTATGCATCTATAATACATTTACCTACTGACCAGATCATACTTATAAAAAAATATTTGGAATGAAACTTTAAAACAAAATAAAAATAGGCAAAAATTTAAATAAAACAAGAAATGATTGTAACAGGATGCTGTTACGAAGTCTCCCAAACGAAGCTCCCATAATTCCTAATTCCCAGGGTCGCCTGACATTGGGAAAGTCCAGTGAAAATTGGTTTGGTCCAGTAAAGTTATATGCATTAGTGATGCCTGGGGACTAACCCTGTATATTCAAATCATCTTGGCATGACAAACCAGAATATATATGGTTTAGGGGTGGGGATCTCAACCATTTACAAGATACAAGAACATTGGGGGTGGGGGGAACCCCTGGGGACTGACCCTATACGTCATTCAAATGTTCGAGACATGACGAACAGGAATATATATGGTTTAGGGGTGGGGATCTCGACCATTTACAAGATATTAGAACTTTCTCAAATGGCATGGGGTTGGGATGACCCCTGGGAACTAACCCTGTATATCATTCAAACCATCTTCGCATGACAAACCAGAATATATATGGTTTAGGGGTGGGGATCTCGATTGTTTACAAGATACTAGAACATTGGAGGTGGGGGGAACCCCTGGGGACTGACCCTATACGTCATTCAAATGTTCGAGACATGACGAACAGGAATATATATGGTATAGGGGTGGGGATCTCGACCATTTACAAGATATTAGAACATTCTCAAATGGTAGGGGGTTGGGATGACCCCTGGGAACTAACCCTGTATATCATTCAAACCATCTTCGCATGACAAACCAGAATATATATGGTTTAGGGGTGGGGATCTCGACCGTTTACAAGATACTAGAACATTGGGGGTGGGGGAACCCCTTGGGACTGACCCTATACGTCATTCAAATGTTTGAGACATGACGAACAGGAATATATATGGTTTAGGGGTTGGGATCTCGACCATTTACAAGATATTAGAACTTTCTCAAATGGCAGGGGGTCGGGATGACCCCTGGGGACTAACCCTGTATATCATTCAAACCATCTTTGCATGACAAACCAGAATATATATGGTTTAGGGGTGGGGATCCTTACCACTTACAAGATATTAGAACTTTCTTAAATGGCAGGGGGTGGGGATGACCCCTGGGGACTAACCCTGTATTTCATTTGATGTGCTTTATCATGACAAACCAGGATATATATGGTTTAGGGGTGGGGATCTCGACCATTTACAAGATATTAGAACTTTCTCAAATGGCAGGGGGTAGGGATGACCCCTGGGGACTAACCTTGTATATCATTCAAACCATCTTTGCATGACAAACCAGAATATATATGGTTTAGGGGTGGGGATCCTGACCACTTACAAGGTATTAGAACTTTCTTAAAAGGGGGTGGGGGTGACCCCTGGGGACTAACCCTGTATTTCATTTAATGTGCTTTATCATTTAGAACATTTTCAATTAAAAAAGATTGTGTCTATCACAAACGGTTTTCAATTTATAATTTAAAAAATAAAATCCCATAGGGTTCTATAGTAAAACCCTCCTTTCTTTTTGCCCCTCAAAGTACCCCTTTATAAACCCTATTGCACAAACAAAACCCTGATTGCACCACTAGACATGTTAGTCTAACATATTGTGAAACCCTAAGTTAATCTGACAAGCGGTTTTGGAGAACGGGTGCGGACAAGTTCAATTTTAAAAGCGGCGGAAGAGGAAGAGGAAGAGGAATAATAATAATAATAATAAGAAGAACTGAGCAAAAACAATAAGTCTTCCCAAACTTCGTTTGGGAGACTTAATTAAAATACGATTTCTGTAGTTTTATATTTTTCTTTTTTGAAACGATTATATAATTTGCTACATGTAGTTGATTGACACAAACTGTCATATTCCTAAACGGAAGATTTTATACACATAGAAGAAGAAGTATACTTAACAACAAAATTATTTTCATTTACCTGAGTGTGTATAATATGACGCAGGTTTCTTCAAAAGTGATGATTTTCTAAAAATTGTGTGACATTTCACAGTGATATCATACTTTAACTTTGTTTAAACCTGTTTATTTACTTTTGAATTTAATTATTTATCCCTTGTAATTTTTTATTAACTGTGTATTTGCATTCAGGTGTCACAGGTCAAATTTATTCGTTCATTGTGTGTTAATTTACGTTTTTTTGATTGAGTAAAGCCTTCCAATTGATATTTTATAGTGTGTTTTTCTATGTTGTGATGTTATACCATTGTTTCAGAAAAGGGAGAAGGTTTGGAACCATTAAAACGTTTAATCCCGCTGCAAATGTTTGCAACTGTCCTAAGTCAGGAATCTGATTACAGTAGTTGACGTCTGTTTATGTAGTTCATAGTTCATACGTGTTTCTTGTTTCTCGTTTTTATATAGATTAGACCGTTGGTTTTTCCGTTTGAATGGTTTTACACTAGTAATTTTTTGGGGCCAAGACATTGATATAAACCTATGATATAAGTTTCATAAAAATCTGGGCAAGAATTATACATGTGAGAGTGCTAACAAGACCGGACGGACGGAGGGAGGGACATACAGACGGACGCCCGGTATTTCTATGTCCCCCGCAAACGCGTTGTGCAGGGGACAAAAAAATACATAATTGAATGAACTCTAATGATATAACCCAAATTTGTTCACAGTTCATTTGTGCATATGAACAAAGACATGAGAATTCTTGGATAAATCAGTGTGTACGGTATTAATTTAGTAGCTAACTTGGCAAAATCCAGGGTGTTTGGTGAGGTTAATGCCTTTAGAAAAGTTGGAACAAAATAGGCAATTTTAACCCTTTTATTTTTTCATTAGCTGTCTGTCTTTTAAAAATTTTATTTGAGGAGAGCAGATTTGGTAAGATTATATGTCAACATTAGATATTCTTTTGAAATATGAAAACAGCATCAATACCAATCTAAGATGGCTCTGCAGCTTACACTTGGGAGAGTCTTGAGTGCATTTTAAAAAAAAAACAATGGAATTTTAGAAATCTTTTTTTAATAGATATAAGAAGATGTGGTATGAGTGTTGTTTTGTGTATACCGGTAAAATATTTACAATTTATTCACTTACATCATGACCAATATTCAAATTAAAAGATATTTGGTAGAGTGAAATGTTATGACACAAAAACAAAGAAAAACCAACTGAAGATAATTGAATACTCTTCAATGTATAAATGTAAAATCAAACATATATTACAGTTGATCTTTAAATGCAAGCACCATAACGGTGAGTAAGAGATATATACATATTTATTCATAAGAAAATACCAAAAGATAAAAATTAAGGTATGGAAATAATATAACCAATGAACATATGATTTCTGCCTTTTGACAAGGTTTAACTAAACTAGTTCTTACCTGCAACTGCTCCACATACAGAAGACTGCCAAGGATCTACTGGTTTTCCTTGTTCTCTTGACCACAGTATCTAGTTTGAAATACCAAAAGTATAATTATATTTAAAATTTATCTTCATTTTTTGTACTCAAAATTCTTGTTTCTTTCAAAACTGAAAATAATGAAAAAATATACTGCATTTTCAAATTATTTCATATTCGAGGTCTTACAGGGGAATAACATTACCGGTACTATTTAAACCAAAAGTTAAAATATGATTTTTTTTATGTTTCAAACCTTTTTAAAAGTGGAATATTGAAATAATATTTCACTACTAGCTGTCAGTTTGGTTCAATTTTGCTAAGATAAGCTAAAAACATCACTGAGGTATTACCAGCTTGCAATTCATTCATTCAACCTCATTTAAAACCGCATTCATGTAAAGTATCAAGTACTTGAAACTAGGTCAGCTAAAAAGTGAAACTAGGGTGCAGCAGTAGAAACACCAATTTTGTTGATTGATTTAACATGGAAATAAACTGCTTCGCCAAGCGCAGCTGGATACGACCGCAGAGGTCCAACCCTGAACAGTTGGGGCAAAGTATGGAAACAACATTTAAGCTGAAAACAGCTCTGAATTTGGATTGTGATTGAATATTTGACACAGCATAGGTTTGTGGCACTAAATGAATGTGGTCAAAGAACTGAAAAATTTGAAATTGGATATTTACCTATTATGGTCCAATATCCAAAATCTAAGTAAATTGTTAGAATCAGCATATCAAAGAACCCCAAGAATTCAATTTTTGATCAAATAAAACAAAAGTTTAATTTAGGACCCTTTGGACCTCAATGTGGACCAATTTGATAAAGGAGCCCACAATCCAAAATCTCTCAATACATGGTTAGATTCAGCATTTCAAAGAACCCCATAAATACAATTTTTTTTGAACCAAACAAAGTTTAATTTTGGACCCTGATTTGGACCAACATGAAAACTGGGCCCAGAAATCTACTTTTAAATACAGGTTTAGATTCAGCATTTGAAAGAACCCTATATATATTTAATTTATGTTGAAATAACTCAAACTGGACAAATAGTTCTCTAAAATTAGAAATGATGTAACTTTTCAAATTATAATTAATAATATAATAACAACAACCAGTGATGACTAAGTTCTGTAAATTAGATATGATGTAATTTTTCAAATTATAATCAATAATATGATAACAACAACCAGTGATGACTAAGTTGAAGTTCTCTAAAATTAGATATGATTTAACACTCAAACATTGTTAGAATCAGCATATCAAAGAACCCATGAATTCAATTTTTGATATAATTAAACAAAAGTTTAATTTAGGACCCTTTGGACCTCAATGTGGTATTATCTAATTTATAATGAAAATAAATACAGGTTTTGATTCAGCATTTCAAAGAACCCTATATATATTCAATTTATGTTGAAATCAAACACAGTTTAATTTTGGACCCTGATTTTGACCAACTTGAAAACTGGGCCCAAAATCAGAAATCTAAATATGTTTATTAATAGACAATATAGGTTTAGCTTTTAAAGGAGTTCATAAAAAAAAAAAATATATATAGCATTCAAAAAATTAGTTTTTACAGAATAACAAATAAACTTACCACAAAATTCTTCATTCCATTTTACCAAAGAAAAGAAAAAATAAACTGCTTCGCCTAGCGCAACCCTGAACAGTTGGGGCAAAAATGGACACAATATCCCAATATTCAAGCTTGATACAGGTCTGAATTTGGATTGTAATTAAATATTTGACACATTATAGGTTTCTGACACAGAATAAATGTAGTCAAAGAACTTAAAATTGGATAAATGATTTGAATTTATATTCAATTGAAGATTTTGCTGTTGTGCAATACTAAGTAAATCTGTTTTCAGGCTATATACAAAGAATTAGCAATTGTGACCCCCAATTTTTCTTTGAAAAACTGACAATTTCTTAAATCTTGAAGAAATAAAATTGACCCCCCCAAAAAAAAAAAATTGTTGCTTGTTTTAGACCCTTTTTGGTCCCTAGTTCCTGAACAGTTTGGGCAATTACCCCGAACATGAATCCCAACCTTCAAATCGTGATATTGAATCTTGTGGTACAATTTTAGAGCAATCAAAATACTTATACAAAAGTTATTGTCCTGAAACTAGAACAAGAGTGCACACGCTGAAATGTCTCGCCTTCTTTACTAACCATTGATATTATGTTGATAGTCCTAAATGAAAGCTTTACTACAACTATTACATAAACTTAACATGATCCAAGAAAATGAAGTGAAGGTCATATAAACTAAACGAGAAATACATGTACACCTTACAATCATTCAATACACTAAATATAGTTAACCTATTGCTTATAGTTTCTAAGAAACTGACTTAACCAAGAAAACTAAACATTGACAAATGAATCGTGAAAATGAGGTCAAGGTCAGATGAACCATGCCAGGCAGACATGAACAGCTTACAATCCTTCCATACAACAAATATAGCTGACCTATTGCTTATAGTTTAAGAAAAACAGACTGAAACACATAAACACATCAAGGTCAAATAAAACCTGCAAGACTGACATGTACATCATAGAATATTTCCATACACCAAATATAGTTGACTTATTGCATATAGTATAAGAAAAAAGACCAAAACTCAAAAACTTAACTTTGACCACTGAACCATGAAAATGAGGTCAAAGTCAGATGACACCTGCCAGTTGGACATGTACACCTTACAATCATTCCATACACCAAATATAGAAGACCTATTGCATAAAGTATAAGAAAAACGGACCAATACACAACAAGAGTGCACACGCTGAAATGTCTCGCCTTCTTTACTAATCATTGATATTATGTTGATAGTCCTAAATATAAAGCTTTATTACAACTGTCACATAAACTTAACATTAACCAAGTAACCTTAACATTGACCAATGAACCATGAAAATGAGGTCAAGGTCAGATGAACCATGCTAGGCAGGCATGTACAGCTAACAATTCTTCCATACAACAAATATAGTTGACCTATTGCTTATAGTTTAAGAAAAACAGACCAAAACACAAAAAACTTAACACTGAGCAATGAACCTTGAAAATGAGGTCAAGGTCAAATAAAACCTGCGTGACTGCCAAATAGATCATAAAATATTTCCATACACCAAATATAGTTGAACTATTGCATATAGTATTAGAAAAAAAGACCAAAACTCAAAAAACTTAACTTCGACCACTGAACCATGAAAATGAGGTCAAGGTCAGATGACACCTGCCCGCTAGACATGTACACCTTACAATCATTCCATACACCAAATATAGTAGACCTATGGCATACAGTATAAGAAAAACAGACCAAAACATAAAAACTTAACTATAACCACTGAACCATGAAAATGAGGTCAAGCTCAGATGACACCTGCCAGTTGGACATGTACACCTTACAGTCCTTCCATACACCAAATATACTAGACCTATTGCTAATAGTATCTGAGATATGGACTTGACCACCAAAACTTAACCTTGTTCACTGATCCATGAAATGAGGTCAAGGTCAAGTGAAAACTGTCTGACGGGCATGAGGACCTTGCAAGGTACGCACATACCAAATATAGTTGAACTATTGCATATAGTATTAGAAAAAAAGACCAAAACTCAAAAACTTAACTTTGACCACTGAACCTTGAAACTGAGGTCAAGGTCAGATGACACCTGCCCGCTAGACATGTTCACCTTACAATCATTCCATACACCAAATATAGTAGACCTATGGCATACAGTATAAGAAAAACAGACCAAAACACAAAAACTTAACTATAACCACTGAACCATGAAAATGAGGTCAAGGTCAGATGACACCTGCCAGTTGGACATGTAACATTACAAAAAATCTTAACTTTTTTTTCAAGTAGTCACTGAACCATGAAAAGAGGTCAAGGACATTGGACATGTGACTGACGGAAACTTCGTAACATGAGGCATCCATATACAAAGTATGAAGCATCCAGACCTTCCACCTTCTAAAATATAAAGCTTTTAAGAAGTTAGCTAACGCCGCCGCCGCCGGATCACTATCCCTATGTCGAGCTTTCTGCGACAAAAGTCGCAGGCTTCGACAAAAACTAAACTATAACCACTGAACCATGAAAATGAGGTCAAGGTCAGATGACACCTGCCAGCTAGACATGTACACCTTACAATCATTCCATACACCAAATATAGTAGGCCTATTGCATACAGTATAAGAAAAACAGACCAAAACACAAAAACTTAACTATAACCACTGAACCATGAAAATGAGGTCAAGGTCAGATGACACCTGCCAGTTGGACATGTACACCTTACAGTCCTTCCATACACCGAATATACTAGACCTATTGCTTATAGTATCTGAGATATGGACTTGACCACCAAAACTTAACCTTGTTCACTGATCCATGAAATGAGGTCGAGGTCAAGTGAAAACTGTCTGACAGGCATGAGGACCTTGCAAGGTAAGCACATACCAAATATAGTTATCCTATTACTTATAATAAGAGAGAATTCAACATTACAAAAAATCTTAACTTTTTTTTCAAGTAGTCACTGAACCATGAAAAGAGGTCAAGGACATTGGACATGTGACTGACGGAAACTTCGTAACATGAGGCATCCATATACAAAGTATGAAGCATCCAGGTCTTCCACCTTCTAAAATATAAAGCTTTTAAGAAGTTAGCTAACGCCGCCGCCGCCGCCGGATCACTATCCCTATGTCGAGCTTTCTGTGACAAAAGTCGCAGGCTCGATAAAAATGATTGTTTTGGGCCCCTAATTTCTAAACGGTTGGGATCATCACCCCCAAAAACAATCCCAACCTTCCTTTTGTGGTATTGAAACTTTTGGTAAAATTTCATAGAGATCCATACACTTAAACTTAAGTTATTGTCTGGAAACCAAATGTCTTAGGATGATAATGACGATGCCAATGACGACATGCTAGCAATATACAACCCCAAAATTTTTTTTTGCGGTCATATAAAAATCCAAAATTTTATTTATAATTAATACAATGTCTTTTAAAAATCTATAAAACTTATCTGTAATGATCTTCAAAATGTCAAAAAATATAGCTTATAATCATCAGCACTTAGGAAACAGAAAATTTTCAAATAAATATGTCACTCCAATTATAATTCTGAGATAAGATATTTACCATATTCTTTGTCATACCGGTAATTTGATAACAGGAGAAAACTATTTAAAAATATTAGTGTAATCAGACTTTATATATATAACAAGCATTCTGTGAGTATTGCATGGAAATACATAGTCCCCTACCGGTTACAAATTCATTGTAATGGAACGAAATTCTAACTTGATCTATAACTTGTCATTGTGTAAACTACATAAAAAAATCAGGTCAAAATCTTCAAGCATGACAAAAAAAACTGTTGAAAACTGATTATTTAAGTGAATTTTCTATGTCCAAAGACCATAACTCTGCACAAAATTATCATCTGGAACAAAATTCCAACTTGATCTGTAACTTGTCATGATAAAACTATATACTAATTATCAAATCAATATCTTCAAGAATGACAAACAAACCTACCACTAAATTCTTCAAACAATTTACCAAAGAAAAGGAAAAAAATCCAAAATGTCATTTTGTATTTTAATAAAATGCTCCGCAGGGCGCAGCTTGATACGACCGCAGAGGTCGAACCCTGAACAGTTGGGGCAAGTATGGACACAACATTCAAGCTTGATACAGCTTTGCATTTGGATTGTGATTAAATATTTGACACAGCATAGGTTTCTGACACAGAATGAATGTGGTCTAAGAACTTAAAAATTTTAAATTGTACATTCACCTATTATGGTCCAATATCCAAAATCTAAAAACATGGTTAGATTCAGCATATCAAAGAACCCCAAGAATTCAAATTTTGATGAAATCAAACAAAGTTTAATTTTGGACCCTTTTGACCTCAATGTGGACAAAGTTGATAACGGGGCCCAAAAATCAAAAATCTAAATACATGGTTAGATTCAGCATATCAAAGAACCCCATATATTCAATTTTTGTTGAAATCAAACAAAGTTTAATTTTGGACCCCGATTTTGACCAACTTGAAAACTGGGCCCATAATCAAAAATCTAAATACATGTTTAGATTCAGCATATCAAAGAACCCTTAGAATTCATTTTTTGTTAAAATCAAACTAAGTTTAATTTTGGACCCTTTGGACCTTTATGTAGACCAATTTGAAAACAAAACCAAAAATTAAAAACCTAAATACACGGTTAGATTCGGCATATCAAAGAACCCCAATAATTCAATTTTTGATAAAAATCAAACAAAGTTTAATTTTGGACCCTTTGGACCTCAATGTGGACCAATTTAAAAACGGGGCCCAAAATCCAAAAACTAAATACACGGTTAGATTCAGCATATTAAAGAACCCCAAGAATTCAAGAATAAAACCCCATTGAAATTGGTCAAGAAATAAGCAATTTATACGAAGTATCTTCTTTTGCACAATACTGTGCAATTAAATATTTCTTGCTATTGCGCAATACTGTACAATTGACAATTTCTTGCTATTGCACAATACTGTGCAATTGAAGATTTCTTGCTATTGCGCAATACCGTGCAATTGAAGATTTCTTGCTATTGTGCAATACTGTGCAATTGAAAATTTCTTGCTATTGCACAATACTTATTATATAATAATTTACACATCCTGTTTGGTGTGTATCTCCTACCATATCATTATTATTTGCTTTTAAATATAAATCAGAAATAACCAACTTAAAATAGAAAATTTTAAAAGAAAAAAAAAAGGAAAAAAAGAAAAAAAAGGAAAAAAAGAAAAAAAATGAAAAAAAAAAAAATCCCCCCCCCCAAATTTTTTGAACCCCCTTATGATTCATCACCTCCAAACTCAATCCCAGCCTTCCCTTTGTGGTATGGTACCTTGCAGTACAATTTCAGAGAGATCCATACACTTGAACACAAGTTATTGTCTGGAAACTAGAACTAGAGGCTCTCAAGAGCCTGTGTCGCTCACCTGACTCTACTTTGGTTTTAGAAATCATGTAAAGATAGATAAAAATCATAACAGATACCCAAATAATGATTGAGGCCAAATTTTGATTAATATTGGTCCCGTTATTTAATAAAATATCCTGGTGGCCATCTTGAACAGTAAATCGGCAACAAAGTAACAACACTTGGTCAGCACTTCATAAGGAACATTCATGCCATGTTTGGTTTCATTCCATTCAGTGGTACTCTAAAAGAAGACATTTGTATGTATTTCCCATAGGGTCCTATGTTAAACTAAGCCCCCCCCCCTAGCGGCCATCTTGGATGATGGATCGACTGCAAAGTAACAACACTTGGTCAGCAACTCATAAGGAACATTCATGCCATGTTTGGTTCAATTCCATTCAGTGGTTCTCTAAAAGAAGACAATTGTATGTATTTCCCATAGGGTCCTATGTTAAACTAAGTCCCCCTCTGTCGGCCATCTTGGATGATGGATCGGCTGCAAAGTAACAACACTTGGTCAACATCTCATAAGGAACATTCATGCCATGTTTGGTTCCATTCCATTTATTGGTTCTCTAAAAGAAGACATTTGTATGTATTTCCCATAGGGTCCTATGTTCAACTAAGTCCCCCGCTGGCGGCCATCTTGGATGATGGATCTGCTACAAAGTAACAACACTTGGTCAGAACCTCATAAGGAACATTCATGCCATGTTTGGTTTCATTCCATTCAGTGGTTCTCTAAAAGAAGACATTTGTATGTATTTCCCATAGGGTCCTATGTTAAACTAAGTCCCCCGCTGGCGGCCATCTTGGATGATGGACCGACTGCAAAGTAACAACACTTGGTCAGCATCTCATACGGAACATTCATGCCATGTTTGGTTCCATTCCATTCAGTGGTTCTCTAAAAGAAGACATTTTTATGTATTTCCCATAGGGTCCTATGTTAAACTAAGTCCCCCGCTGGCGGCCATCTTGGATGATGGATCGGCTACAAAGTAACAACACTTGGTCAGCACCTCATAAGGAACATTCATGCCATGTTTGGTTTCATTCCATTCAGTGGTTCTCTAAAAGAAGACATTTGTATGTATTTCCCATAGGGTCCTATGTTAAACTAAGTTCCCCGATGGCGGCCATCTTGGATGATGGATCGGCTACAAAGTAACAACACATGGTCAACACCTCATAAGGAACATTCATGCCATGTTTGGTTTTATTCCAATCAGTGGTTCTCTAAAAGAAGTCATTTGTATGCATTTCCCATAGGGTCCTATGTTAAACTAAGTCCCCCGCTGGCGGCCATCTTGGATGATGGATCGGCTACAAAGTAACAACACTTGGTGAGCACCTTATAAGGAACATTCATGCCATGTTTGGTTTTATTCCATTCAGTGGTTCTCTAAAAGAAGTCATTTGTATGCATTTCCCATAGGGTCCTATGTTAAACTAAGTCCCCCGCTGGCGGCCATCTTGGATGATGGATCGGCTACAAAGTAACAACACTTGGTCAGCACCTCATAAGGAACATTCATGCCATGTTTGGTTTCATTCCATTCAGTGGTTCTCTAGAAGAAGTTCAAAATGTAAAAAGTTAACGCCGACGACGGACGACGCCGGACGACGGACGACAGACGCTAAGTGATGAGAAAAGCTCACTTGGCCCTTCGGGCCAGGTGAGCTAACTAGAGGCTCTAAAGAGCCTGTGTCGCTCACCTTGGTCTATGTGAATATTAAACAAAGGACGCAGATGGATTCATGACAAAATTGTGTTTTGGTGATGGTGATGTGTTTGTACATCTTAATTTACTGAACATTTTTCCTGCTCACAATTATCTCTATCTATAATTAACTTGGCCCAGTAGTTTCAGAGGAGAAAATTTTTGTAAAAGATTACTAAGATTTACGAAAAAATGGTTAAAAATTGACTATAAAGGGCAATAACTCCTAAAGGGGTCAACTGACAATTTCGGTCAGGTTGACTTATTTGTAGATCTTACTTTGCCGACATTTGTTGTTTTTTACAGTTTATCTCTATCTATAATAATATTCAAGATAATAACCAAAAACAGCAAAATCACCTTAAAATTACCAATTCAGGGGCAGCAACCCAACAACGGGTTGTCCGATTCATCTGAAAATTTCAGGGCAGATAGATCTTGACCTGATAAACAATTTAACTTCATGTCAGATTTGCTTTAAATGCTTTGGTTTTTGAGTTAAAAGCCAAAAACTGAATTTTACCCCTATGTTCTATTTTTAGCCGTGGCGGCCATCTTGGTTGGTTGACCAGGTCACGCCACACATTTTCAAAACTAGATAACCAAATGATGATTGTGGCCAAGTTTGGTTTAATTTGGCCCAGTTGTTTCAGAGGAGAAGATTTTTGTAAAAGATTACTAAGATTTACGAAAAATGGTTAAAAATTGACTATAAAGGGCAATTACTCCTAAAGGGGTCAACTGACCATTTCGGTTATATTGACTTATTTGTAAATCTTACTTTGCTGAACATTATTGCTGTTTACAGTTTATCTCTATCTATAATAATATTCAAGATAATAACCAAAAACAGCAAAATTTCCTTAAAATTACCAATTCAGGGACAGCAACCCAATAACGGGTTGTCCGATTCATCTGAAAATTTCAGGGCAGATAGATCTTGACCTGATAAACAATTTTATTTCATGTCAGATTTGCTTTAAATGCTTTGGTTTTTGAGTTAAAAGCCAAAAACTGAATTTTACCCCTATGTTCTATTTTTAGCCGTGGCGGCCATCTTGGTTGGTTGACCAGGTCACGCCACACATTTTTAAAACTAGATAACCAAATGATGATTGTGGCCAAGTTTGGTTTAATTTGGCCACGGAGTTTCAGAGGAGAAGATTTTTGTAAAAGATTACTAAGATTTACGAAAAATTGTTAAAAATTGACTATAAAGGGCAATAACTCCTAAAGGAGTCAACTGACCATTTCAGTCATGTTGACTTATTTGTTAATCTTACTTTGCTGAACATTATTGATGTTTACAGTTTATCTCTATCTATAATAATATTCAAGATAATAACCAAAAACAGCAAAATTTCCTTAAAATTACCAATTCAGGGGCAGCAACCCAACAACAGGTTGTTCGATTCATCTGAAAATTTCAGGGCAGATAGATCTTGACCTGATAAACAATTTTACTTCATGTCAGATTTGCTCTAAATGCTTTGGTTTTTGAGTTATAAGCCAAAAACGGCATTTTACCCCTATGTTTTATTTTTAGCTGTGGCGGCCATCTTGGTTGGTTGGCCGGGTCACGCCACACATTTTTTAAACTCGATACCCCAATGATGATTGTGGCCAAGTTTGGTTTAATTTGGCCCAGTTGTTTCAGAGGAGAAGATTTTTGTAAAAGATTACTAAGATTTACGAAAAAATGGTTAAAAATTGACTATAAAGGGCAATAACTCCTAAAGGGGTCAACTGACAATTTCGGTCAGGTTGACTTATTTGTAGATCTTACTTTGCCGACATTTGTTGTTTTTTACAGTTTATCTCTATCTATAATAATATTCAAGATAATAACCAAAAACAGCAAAATCACCTTAAAATTACCAATTCAGGGGCAGCAACCCAACAACGGGTTGTCCGATTCATCTGAAAATTTCAGGGCAGATAGATCTTGACCTGATAAACAATTTTACTTCATGTCAGATTTGCTTTAAATGCTTTGGTTTTTGAGTTAAAAGCCAAAAACTGAATTTTACCCCTATGTTCTATTTTTAGCCGTGGCGGCCATCTTGGTTGGTTGACCAGGTCACGCCACACATTTTCAAAACTAGATAACCAAATGATGATTGTGGCCAAGTTTGGTTTAATTTGGCCCAGTTGTTTCAGAGGAGAAGATTTTTGTAAAAGATTACTAAGATTTACGAAAAATGGTTAAAAATTGACTATAAAGGGCAATTACTCCTAAAGGGGTCAACTGACCATTTCGGTTATATTGACTTATTTGTAAATCTTACTTTGCTGAACATTATTGCTGTTTACAGTTTATCTCTATCTATAATAATATTCAAGATAATAACCAAAAACAGCAAAATCACCTTAAAATTACCAATTCAGGGGCAGCAACCCAACAACGGGTTGTCCGATTCATCTGAAAATTTCAGGGCAGATAGATCTTGACCTGATAAACAATTTTACTTCATGTCAGATTTGCTTTAAATGCTTTGGTTTTTGAGTTAAAAGCCAAAAACTGAATTTTACCCCTATGTTCTATTTTTAGCCGTGGCGGCCATCTTGGTTGGTTGACCAGGTCACGCCACACATTTTCAAAACTAGATAACCAAATGATGATTGTGGCCAAGTTTGGTTTAATTTGGCCCAGTTGTTTCAGAGGAGAAGATTTTTGTAAAAGATTACTAAGATTTACGAAAAATGGTTAAAAATTGACTATAAAGGGCAATTACTCCTAAAGGGGTCAACTGACCATTTCGGTTATATTGACTTATTTGTAAATCTTACTTTGCTGAACATTATTGCTGTTTACAGTTTATCTCTATCTATAATAATATTCAAGATAATAACCAAAAACAGCAAAATTTCCTTAAAATTACCAATTCAGGGACAGCAACCCAATAACGGGTTGTCCGATTCATCTGAAAATTTCAGGGCAGATAGATCTTGACCTGATAAACAATTTTATTTCATGTCAGATTTGCTTTAAATGCTTTGGTTTTTGAGTTAAAAGCCAAAAACTGAATTTTACCCCTATGTTCTATTTTTAGCCGTGGCGGCCATCTTGGTTGGTTGACCAGGTCACGCCACACATTTTTAAAACTAGATAACCAAATGATGATTGTGGCCAAGTTTGGTTTAATTTGGCCACGGAGTTTCAGAGGAGAAGATTTTTGTAAAAGATTACTAAGATTTACGAAAAATTGTTAAAAATTGACTATAAAGGGCAATAACTCCTAAAGGAGTCAACTGACCATTTCAGTCATGTTGACTTATTTGTTAATCTTACTTTGCTGAACATTATTGATGTTTACAGTTTATCTCTATCTATAATAATATTCAAGATAATAACCAAAAACAGCAAAATTTCCTTAAAATTACCAATTCAGGGGCAGCAACCCAACAACAGGTTGTTCGATTCATCTGAAAATTTCAGGGCAGATAGATCTTGACCTGATAAACAATTTTACTTCATGTCAGATTTGCTCTAAATGCTTTGGTTTTTGAGTTATAAGCCAAAAACGGCATTTTACCCCTATGTTTTATTTTTAGCTGTGGCGGCCATCTTGGTTGGTTGGCCGGGTCACGCCACACATTTTTTAAACTAGATACCCCAATGATGATTGTGGCCAAGTTTGGTTTAATTTGGCCCAGTTGTTTCAGAGGAGAAGATTTTTGTAAAAGATTACTAAGATTTACGAAAAATGGTTAAAAATTGACTATAAAGGGCAATTACTCCTAAAGGGGTCAACTGACCATTTCGGTTATATTGACTTATTTGTAAATCTTACTTTGCTGAACATTATTGCTGTTTACAGTTTATCTCTATCTATAATAATATTCAAGATAATAACCAAAAACAGCAAAATTTCCTTAAAATTACCAATTCAGGGGCAGCAACCCAATAACGGGTTGTCCGATTCATCTGAAAATTTCAGGGCAGATAGATCTTGACCTGATGAACAATTTTACCACATGTCAGATTTGCTCTTAATGCTTTGGTTTTTGAGTTATAAGCTAAAAACTGCATTTTACCCCTATGTTCTATTTTTAGCCGTGGCGGCCATCTTGGTTGGTTGACTGGGTCACGCCACACATTTTTAAAACTAGATACCCCAATGATGATTGTGGCCAAGTTTGGTTAAATTTGGCCCAGTAGTTTCAGAGGAGAAGATTTTTGTAAAAGTTTACGGACGACGGACGACGGACGACGGACGCAGGACGACGGACGACGGACGCAAAGTGATGAGAAAAGCTCACTTGACCTTTCAGGTCAGGTGAGCTAAAAATGTGTTTTTTGGCCCCTTTTTGGCCCCAAATTCCTAAACAATTAGGGCAATTACCCCCAAACTCAAACCCAGCTTTCCCTTTGTGATATGGAACCTTGTAGTACAATATCAGAAAGATCCATACACTTACACACAAGTTATTGTCCTGAAACTAGAAAAATGCTTGTTTTTTGCCCCTTTTTGGCCCCTAATTCCTAAAATATTGAGGCAATTACCCCCATCATCAATCCCAGCCTTCTCTTTGTGGTATGGTACCTTGCAGTACAATTTCAGAGAGATCCATACACTTGAACACAAGTTATTGTCTGGAAACTAGAAAAATGCTTATTTTTGGCCCCTTTTTGGCCCCCAATTCCTAAACGTTTCAGCAATTACCCCCAAACTCAATTCCAGCTTTTACTTTGTGATATGGAACCTTGTAGTACAATTTCAGAAAGATCCATAGACTTACACACAAGTTATTGTCATGAAACTAGAAAAATGCTTGTTTTTTTGCCCCTTTTTTTGCCCCTAATTCCTAATATTTTGAGGCAATTACCCCCAAAATCAATCCCAGCATTCCTTTCGTGATATGGAACCTTGTGGTACAATGTCAGAGAGATCCATATACTAACACACAAGTTATGTCTGGAAGTTACAAAAATGCTTATTTTTGGCCCCTAATTCCTTTACTGTTGGTACCATAACCCCGAAAATCAATCCCAACCTTCCTTTTGTGGTATTGAACCTTGTGGTAAAATTTCATAGAGATCCATTCACTTAAACTAAAGTTAGAGTGCGAAAACCAATGTGTCTTCGGACGACGCCGGACGACGACGACGACGACGACTATGACGCCAATGTCATACCAATATACGACCACAAAAATTTTTTTGCGGTCGTATAAAAATTGAATCATAATTTCCTGTCAATATGATCATCTACATAGTATGTCCTTATTATCTACACAGTTTCTTAAATTCTGTTGTGTGGTTTGAGAGGAGTTGCGATGACAAAAGGTTGCAGTAGTATATTGGGCAAATAAGTTCAAAGGGGTGTAACTCCTGGAAAAAAAAATTGAATCGTAATTTCCTGTCGATATGCACATCTACGTAGTATGTCCTTATTATCTGAAAAGGTTTCATGAAATTCTGTTGTGTGGTTTGAGAGGAGTTGCGATGACAAAAGGTTGCAGTAGTATATTGGGCAAATAAGTTCAAAGGGGCGTAACTCCAGGAAAAAAAATGAATCGAAATTTCCTGTCAATATGCACATCTACGTAGTATGTCCTTATTATCTGAAAAGGTTTCATGAAATTCTGTTGTGTGGTTTGAGAGGAGTTGCGATGACAAAAGGTTGCAGTAGTATATTTGGCAAATAAGTTCAAAGGGGCGTGACTCCTGGAAAAAAAATTGAATCGTAATTTCCTGTCGATATGCACATCTACGTTGTATGTCCTTATTATCTGAAAAGGTTTCATGAAATTCCGTTGTGTGGTTTGAGAGGAGTTGGGATGACAAAAGGTTGCAGTAGTACATTAAAGTAAATAAGTTCAAAGGGGCGTAACTCCTAGAAAAAAAATTGAGACGTAATTTCCTGTCGATATGCACAACTACATAGTATGTCCTTATTATCTAAAAAGGTTTCGTGAAATTCTGTTGTGTGGTTTGAGAGGAGTTGCGATGACAAGAAATAGGACTGACGGGTCAAAAACATTATACCCTCCGCAACTCGTTGCGTGGGGTATAATAATACATAATGGGAACATCATTGTTCTGAGCATGTGTTTTTGTACAAAGCACCTTTTTGAAGGAGCACTGAGAATATTAATGTAACATGATTGAAGATGGCAGATTTTTAATTTCTGAATTGATCCTTTGGCTATAACTTAAAAATAAACCCACAGCAATGGAATCGTACCTTAAAGTATTCCCACATTGGAAATTGCATAAAAGAAAAAGGAACCTCTCTTATAACTGTACTCAGGTAACCCCTATAAAGGCCTCTAAAACCCTGAAATAACAAAAAAGTCATTAAGTGCATTTAGATGACAAATAACTTGATTACGTATTTTTGATATATTTATATTTAAATTGTTGACTTTCATTTTTTACATTGGAGTATTTTGGTATGTATTTCAATAGTCCCCATGTTTAAATGGAAAGGCTTCTACACTATTTTCTTTAAAAATTGGGATACTACAACTTGCATTGTATGTCCCCTTGCCTGTATTGATGAGCTGAAATTTGGTATGCTATTGTGAAATTCCACTGCATTATTCCGACCGGGAATTTGCACAAATAAAAAGGCTATAGGGAAGAGCTTTGAATCCAAATAACAGTGGGCAAGAACTTTGCTATAAGGAAATGGTGTTGAATTATTTTACACTGTGCATTTTCCAAACAGAAATTTTAAAAAATGAAAGGTACAGGAAATGGCTTTCAATTCCCTACTGTTATTACTACTTACATCAGAAATACTGTGGATTCATTCATTTTGTTGGTATAAAATTTCGTGAATTGAGGATAACTTTTATTTTTGTTAATAGTTTGCAATAAATGTGCTTCGCCAAGCACAGCTGGATTCGACCGCAGAGGTCAAACCCTGAACAGTTGGGGCAAAAATGGACATAATATTCAAGCTTGATACAGGTCTGAATTTGGATTGTAATTAAATATTTGACACATTATAGGTTTCTGACACAGAATAAATGTAGTCAAAGAACTTGAAATTGGTTATATGATTTGAAATTATATTCAATTGAAGATTTTTTGCTGTTGTGCAATACACGGTGCTGTTGCGCAATACTTAGTAAATCTGTTTTCAGACTATATACAAAGAATTAGAAAAATAAATTGTGACCCCCAATTTTTTTTTTTGGAAAATTGATAATTTCTTAAATCTTGAGGAAAAAAATTGCCCCCCCCCAAATTTTTGTTTAAACCTCCCCCCCCCCCCCCCCCCCCCTTTTTCCAAAAAAAATAATATTTGAAGAGATTTTCTTTTTGTAAAATGTGGTACAATTTTAGAGACATCCATACACTTAAACACAAGTTATTGTCTGAAAACTAGAAAAATCATCGACGCCGACGACGTGATAGCAATATACGAACGCAAATTTTTTGCGGTCGTATAAAAAGTCTGTAAAGAAGCCTTTTAAAATGTATACCTCCTTGAACATTTAAATTTGTGGTTTACCTATAAACACGAAATCCAAGAAAATTGGTAATCCAAAGTTTGGTGTGTAATAAACTGATAACTTGTAATGCAGAACTATTTATGTTTAAATAAAATGCTCCGCTGGGCGCTGCTTGATACAACCGCAGAGGTCGAACCCTGAACAGTTGGGACAAGTATGGACACAACATTTAAGCTTAAAACAGCTATGAATTTGGATAGTGATTGAATATTTGACACAGCATAGGTTTGTGACACAAAATGAATGTGGTCATAGAACTGAAAAATTTGAAATTGGACATTTACCTATTATGGTCCAATATCCAAAATCTAAGTACATGGTTAGAATCAGCATATCAAAGAACCCCCAAGAATTCAATTTTTGATGAAATCAAACAAAAAATTAATTTAGGACCCTTTGGACCTTAATGTGGACCAATTTGATAAAGGAGCCCAAAATCCAAAATCTCAATACATGGTTAGATTCAGCATTTCAAAGAACCCGATAAATTCAATTTTTGTTGAAATCAAACAAAGTTTAATTTTGGACCCTGATTTGGATCATCTTGAAAACTGGGCCCAAAAATCCAAAATTTAAATACAGGTTTAGATTCAGCATTTTAAAGAACCCATATATATTCAATTTATGTTGAAATCAAACACAGTTTAATTTTAGACCCAGATTTGGATCAACTTGAAAACTGGGCCCAAAATCAAAAATCTAAATACATGTTTATTAACAGACAATATAAGCTTGGTTTTTAAAGGAGTTCGCTTAATCAAAAAAAAATATATGGGGAATGTGTCCATGGGACACAGATGATGCCCCGCTTGCATATAACGTTATAAAGGGACATAACTCTAGAAAGGTAAAAGTGACGCCACCAAAGTTCACACTTGATCTGTGTTTTGTGGTAATCAGCATTGGGCACAAGTTTCATAATGTTTGGTTGAGACATACTAAAGTTAGAGAATGGAAACGAAAAATTCAGCAATCTTTCCATTTGTACAGGGGCATTACTCTAGAATAGTAAAAGTGACGCTACCAACATTCAAACTTGATCTGTGTTTTGTGGTAATAAGCATTGTGTAAAAGTGTCATAATATTTGGTTGAGGCAAACTAAAGTTAGAGAACGGAAACGCCGAATTTTTTTTTCATTTGTAAAGGGGCATAACTCTAGAAAGGTAAAAGTGACGCCACCAAAATTCAAACTGGATCTGTGCTTTGTGGTAATAAGCATTGTGTATAAGATTCATAACGTTTGGTTGAGGCAAACTAAAGTTAGAGAACGGAAACAAAAAATTCAGCAATTTTTCCATTTGTAAAGGGGTATAACTCTAGAACGGTAAAAGTGACATCACCCAAATTCAAACTTGATCTTTTATGGTAATCAGCATTGTGCATACATTTCATAGTATTTGGTTGAGGCAAACTAAAGTTAGAGAACTGAAACCAATTTTTGGACGTACAGAGAGACAAGGGTAAAACTTAACGCCCCCTCTGCTACGGCGGGGGCATGAAAATATATATAGCATTCAGAAAATTAGTTTATACAGAATAACAAACATACCTACCACAAAATTCTTCAAACAATTTACCAAAGAAAAGAAAAAAATAATTTCCAAAATATCATTTATCATTAATACAATGTCTTTAAATAAATTGCTTCGCTGTGCGCAGCTGGATACGACCGCAGAGGTCCAACCCTGAACAGATGGGGCAAAAATGGATGCAATATTCGCGCTTGATACAGGTCTGAATTTGGATTGTAATTAAATATTTGACACATAATAGGTTTCTGACACAGAATAACTGTAGTCAAAGAACTTAGAATTGGTTATGATTTGAATTTATATTCAATTTTTTGCTTTTGTGCAATACACTATGCTGTTGCATATTACCCCCCCCCCCCCCCCCCCCCCCCACACACACTTTTTTTTTGCAAAAAAAATAATATTTGAAGAATTTTTCTTTTTAATTTCTGAAATCTGAAATGAGAAAAAAATTGACCCCCCACAATTTCTTTCCCCCCCCTCCCTTTTCCCCCCCAAAAATTCTTTCCCTCAAGAAATGGTCATAATCTCAGTTCAATTTTCCAATGGAGTTTGCAACCATACTTACCCATTTAAATTTACCATAGTGCTAACTTAATCTATTTTATAATAGAATTTAAAATATGGTGTCAAATCTTTCATATGGGTTTTTTTGTAAAAAAAGAAAGATGCAACATTTGCAGATATTTTTACTGGTCTTCCTTTATAAATATGCATTTCTTTAAACATAATTCAAAAAGCAGTGTAAGGGAGGTAATCAAAACGTATTTGGATTACCTCCCTTTACACTGCTTTTAAATTGTCTTAATTATTCATTAACCATTACTTTATACATAATTTAAAAGCAGTGTAAGGGAGATAATTCAAATGATGTATTTGAATTACCTCCCTTACACTGCTTTAAATTATGTTTTGTACTAAAGTATTTGTCCATTAACCAGGACACCCTTGTTTTTCCCCCTTTTTTGCCCCTAATTCCTAAACAGTTTGAGCCATAACCCCCCAAAGCAAATCCTAACCATCCCTTTGTGGTATGGAAACTTGTGGTATAATTTCAGAGAGATCCATACACCGTATCACAAGTTATTGTCTGGACACTAGAAAAATGCTTATTTTTGGCCCCTAATTCCTTAACTGTTGGTACCATAACCCCCAAAATCAATCCCAACCTTCCTTTTGTGGTATTTAACCTTATGGTAAAATTTCATAGAGATCCATTGACACATTAACTAAAGTTATTGTGCGAAAACCAATGTGTCTTCGGACGACGACGCCAACGTCATACCAATATACGACCGCAAAATGTTTTTGCTGTCGTAATCTATTAAACTTATCTGTAATTCTCTTCAAAATATCTTATAATGAACAGTAAATTTCAAACTATATTTATAACGTCCTACAGAGCTTATCATCAACAACACTTAGGAAACACAAAATTTTAAAATAAATCTGTCACTCCAATTTTAATTGAGTAATTGATTTTACGATCATTTCTTATCATTAATGTAGATTTTCTTTTCAGTTTGGGCATGGTATTTCACAGTTATGATACGGGAAAACAAACAACGACAAAAATTAAAGAAGGCAAATAAATTTTAGATCTATAAAAACACTGAGTGTAATCAAACTTTATATGTATAATTAATAGTTCCCAATTTTCTTTCATTTGTGAAAAACTAATATCTGCAACTTATCTATCAATGTCAACAACTTTATCTACACAATGTATTGTAATGAAATATATCCATCAATAAAAATAGATTATTATCTTTATTCAAACATGTTAACAATCTTTAAATAGAACACAATGCATACACAATTATTACCACAATTAATATATCTGAATCAGCAAATCTATTTTAAACTATGACTCAATTTAAAATTTCTATAATAAATCTATAAATGTAGAGCTTGATTAATTATTTAATATCCCAACCCTCCTATTGTGCTATGGAACCTTGTGCTAAAATTTCTTACACATCCATACATTTATACTAAAGTTATTGTCTGTGAAACAATTTATTTTCCATGAACTAGTGATGTAAACCACAAAAATAGTTCTCTAAAATTAGATACGATGTTATATCTATTTTCAACTATGACTCTGTTAATTGTCTAATAACATCTCTGAATTTAAATTCTGAGCAAATATGTAATAATAGCATAGTTTCTGACACAGAATGAATGTGGTATAAGTTCTTAAATAATTTTAAAATTGAACATTTACCAATTATCGTCCAATATTCAAATTCTAAATACATGGTTGGATTCAGCATATCAA